CTGATGTGCCTGGGAAGAGCGGCACAAGGGAACCAGCCCATGGAGGATTCTCTTTCTCTCTCTCCCCTCTCCATAACACTGCCTTTGCAAGTAAATAAAATAACATTTAAAAAAATAAAATCAAGACCTACTGTTCATCAGATGACACCATGAGCAATCTAACAAGCCACAGGTGGAGGAGAAGGATTGCTACGAGGAATACACAGAGAAGAGCTATAAAAAGGAAAAGACAAGCTACACAGGAAGCTCAGCAGAGCCACGCACAGGCATTTCCCAGAGGAAGAAAGAGAGACCCAATATTACTAGTACGCGGGCAATGCCAATTTGAAATCCAGTAAGATACCACTTCACACCCTGTGTAATGGAAAAAAGTCCCAGGTGTGCCAGGCACACGTTCGTGAAGCTATGGAGATGCAGAAGCTTCATGCTGAGGCCGGTGCTGTGGCGCGGCGGGTTAAGCCACCGCCTGCAGCACCAGCATCCCATATGGACGCCGGTTCAAGTCCGATCCAGCTCCCTGCTAAAGGCCTGGGAAAGCAGTGGAAGATGGCCCAAGTCCTCTTTGACCCAGCAAGTCCTCCTCCAGCATCAAGGACACCTCGCTCGTGGCAGAGAGACAGCATCAGGCCAGTCAAGGCCACCTCCCCTCCCCAGCTCTCAGTAGGGACACTGATGAAGACACAGCACTGACCAAGGGAACGATCCGTGTGGCGCTGGCCTGGGTCCTCGGGTTCAAACCCCTCTCATGGACCGCGCTCCATGGACAAACGACCTCAGACAATAGGCCTGGGGAAGGGGGAGGGGCAGCTGTGGTGGCACAGCCGGTTAAGCCGCTGCTTAGCACAGCTGCATCCCGTATCGGAGTGCCAGATGCTAAGGCAGACCCTTAGAGGCAACAGCTCAAGTACTTGAGACCCTGCCACCCATGCAGGAGATCCAGAGGGAGTGTCTGGCTTCGGCTTGGCCTAGATTTGACTGCTGGGGGTATTTGAGGAGTGAACCAGTGGATGGAAGATCTCTCTCTCTCTCTCTCTCTCTCTCTCTCTCTGTGTGTGTGTGTGTGTGTGTGTGTGTGTCTCCCCTCCTCTCTGTCTTTCAAATAAATAGATAAAACTTGAAGGGGTCAGTGCTGTGGCATAGTGGACTAAGCCCCTGCCTGTGGTGTCGGCATCCCATATGAATGCCACTTTAAGTCCCTGCTGCTCTACTTCCAGTGCAGCTCCCTGCTAATGCACCTGGGAAAGCAGCACAGGATGACCCAAGACCTTGGGCCCCTGCACCCATGTGGGAGACCCAGATGAAGCTTCAGGTCCCTGGCTTCAGCCTGGCCATTGCAGCCACTTGGAGAATGATCCATTGGATGGAAGTGTCCCCCACCCCACCCCCCCAGCCTCTCTAACTCTGACTTTCAAATAAATAAATCAATCTCTTAAAAAAAAGACACACCTACATCTGGGCAACTTTTTTATTCTGTGGTGTTCGAAGGAACTAAACATCTGCTGGGCCTTCAGCCTGTGGGTCCCTCTGCCTCGGTCTCATCCCCAGACCCCTTCAAGTCCTGTTAGTGACCTGTGCCACCTCCAGTGCACAAACACAGCTTCTGGCCTCAACAGCCCAGCGGCCTCATCGGCACCTCCGCCTTACTGTCCTCCACTCCCCACCTGCATGGTCTCCTGGCTTTTCCTGCCTTTGCCTCCTCCCCACCATGCAACCCCCTCTGTGACTGCAGACCTGGGCACCCATATGCCAAGTTTCATGCTTCGAGGCTACCTACCCTGATGGTCTAGTATGGGGGCCTGTCCTGTGGTTAACACATGGTCTTTTAAAAAAATGAATTGTGCACTTTTAAATGGCTGGAACTTGCGGTATATAAATTATTTCTAATTTTTAAAAAATATTTGACTTATTTATTTGAGAGGTAGAGTTAGAGAGAGAGAGAGAGAGAGAGAGGTCTTCCATCTGCTGGTTCACTGCCCCGATGGCCGCAACGGCTGGAGCTGTGCCGATCCAAAGCCAGGAGCCAGGAGCTTCTTCCAGGTCTCCCACACAGGCGCAGGGGCGCAAGCACTTGGGCCATCTTCTACTGCTTTCCCAGGCCATAGCAGAGAGCTGGATTGGAAGAGCAGCAGCCAGGAGTTGAACTGGCGCCCATATGGGAGGGATTCCAGCACCGCGAGCAGAGGCTTAGCTCACTGCACCACAGCACTGGCCGCAACAAGTAGTCTTGCCTCTGACACACTTGTGCTCCAGTTTCCCAACCTGTGAGCCAGGCTTGCTGGGAGGAGTAAATGTGCTAACACTCACACCACGCTGTTTCCGGGTTACTCTAGTGACAGCACCTAGTAGGCACTTCGTGGAAGCTTACAGAATGCCCACATATGGAGGGCGGGGCACCGCCACCCTCGCCTGCGGTCAGTCCTCTGCCATGCCTGCCTCGGCCAGCAGAGGGAAGCAGCGCCCTGCCCTGCAGTGTCGGGCAAAGGGGCGGGCTGGGAGGGGCTGGACCGCCCGGCCGGCCCCGCGGGGATGAGACGGGCTAGACGCGACTGCATTGTGGGGAGGGAGGCTGGGGCTGCTCGGCGACGCAGTCTTGGCGCTGCCAGCTGCTGCTTGGTCCCCGCCGGCAGCCCGCCCAGGTAGGCAGGAGCCGGGGCTGGCGCGGGCACGGGGCGCTGCGACCGCCAGGGCGAGGGGTGCCGCGGCGGGGCGTGCTCGCACTGAGGAGCAGCTGGGCTCAGGCGAGGGCGCACAGGAGCCACCCAGGCGCTAAGCCCTCACCTCCCCACACTGGTGACCTCCCACCAGGGGGTGGCCCTGGCACCAGGAGGTTGGGAACAGGGGCTTCCGACCCCAAATAGGAGCCAGTGCCAGCCCTGGGTAGGGTGCAGAGCAGGGAGGCTGCCGGCCTGGCTCCCCACCCCCACAGCCACCCAACTGGCCCAGCCAGGTGGCAGCAGCCCGCCCTGCCACCTCACCCTGGAGCCTGCTGCCATGCACTGTGGGGGAGGCGGAGACCCCAACCCAACCACACCTGCGCCTGTACCACGGGCCCTGTGGCTCTCCATTCCCTACCGGCAACATGGGTGGTGGGGGTCGGCAGCGGGGGCAGACCCAGCCACGGGTTGGGGTCCGGGTGACTGAGTGTCCTCCACGCCCCTTGTGCAGCGTCCTTCACTGGTACCGCCCGCTACCACCACACTGCACCTGGCACGGCTCAGGGCTCTGTGCTCCTTGGCCAGTCTTCCAGCGGGCGGGGGGCGGGGGCGAAGGTCTTCTGGACGAACTGCCTTTGTCAGCACCTCCTCTGCCCTCAGCCGGACAAAGGCTGGCATTGAGGGCCAGGGCTGGCACGGCGACCAGGCACCAAGGCTACCAAGGCTGAGACTGGCCCTGTCCCGGGGACTCTGAGGCCTACCCCTGTGCCCTTCACAGGGACCCAGGGGGCTGGGGGGAGGGGCGCCCACGGCGGGCACAGCGTGATGAGGCCAGATGGGGAGGGCTGACAGCAGGAAACCCTGTCCCTTTGTCCCTAGATCCTAGGGGGTGTCTCCTGGGGGCGTGGTGTGGCAGGGAGCCCCCGTGCGGAGCAGCCGAGTGGGGGTAAGAGCACCAGATAGTGGGTCCCTGGTCTGGGCCTCCGGACAGAGGGGACATTGTTGGGGTGGAGGCAGGGCTGCTTTGGCCCGGCCACTAGTGACAAAGCTGCCAGCTGTGGTGGAGCCCGGTCGGCAGGCCCTTGCCCTCCCCCCCCCCCCGCCCAGTCCTCTTCCTCCCCCAGGGCCGGCATGAATGGGGCTGAGCCTTGACTGTCTCCCTCCCACTCAGGACAATGCCCCCCACAGCCATCTTGCGCCTGTCCCCACTGCCCTCGGGCAGCTGAGCTGAGGAGCTGGAGCAGGCCACCCGCCCTGGGCTAGCCCTCTGCTGGAGCCCTTCCTGCCGGTAAGTGCCTGGGTCCCGTGTCCCCCAAAGATGTCCCTGGGAGGGAAGGGCCCCAGCAGACACTGCCACCAACTTCCTGTCTGTGCTCCCAAGATAAGGGGCTTGGGGCGCTGCCCTGGGCCTGGGTGGCACATGCCCACACGGCCAGGCGTGTGCACACTGGCTCAGCTTAGGACCTGGGCCTCAGGCTACTGTCCCCTTTCCAGGGGCTCTGCCCGCAGTGAGGTGGCGGCCGCAGCAGGAGAGGCTGGGTGCCCTCCCCCTCACTCCCCACCGCACGCTCTGACCTCCGCGCAGCACCCTCCCCAGGTCTCCCCCACCCCTGCCCTGACCACCCCCGTTCCCTGCCACCTCCGGGACCCGTGCGCCAGTGTCTCAGCCAGCAGCTCCCAGCTGCCTCAGTTTCCCCCCACGCTCCCTCTTGCAGCTGTCCGGGGCGGGTTTTCTCTGCCTGGCCCTCGTGTTGTGCGTGTCCCCACTTACTGCATGGGCCTCCCGGCTCGTCTGTGAGGACATGGTTCCCCCACTCTGTGCCGCCCCACATCCTACTCCCACGCCGGGGCTGGGCGTCCCGGCTTCATTGCATCCCTGCCTCCTCACGCCACGGTGGCTCAGCTCTGCAGCCCGGCCCCTCTGTCACTCACGGTGCCTGCGTTCCTGCATGCGTGGCTTTGCAGGATCTGCCCTCTCTCCCACAATCCAGACGCCTGTCAAGTTGAGATGAAAGAATCCCTTCCTCCCCGGCTCGGCTCGCAGCACGGGGTGCGCCCTCCCCCACTCTCTTTGTCCTTCCTCAGTACCGCCTCTACCTCTGCCTCTCTCTCTCTCTCCCCCTCTGTCTCTCAGCCTCCCCACCCCCTCCCTCTCTCTCCCCGGGAGTCCCTGGCCCCCCTGTCCACCCGCCTGCCCCTGTCTCAGCCCTGCTTTCGGCCCCCTCTGTCCTGGCCCATTGCCCAGACTCGTGCCTTTGGGGAGTGTCATTGTGCCCCCTGGGAGCCGGTGGCTCCCTCCCAATGGGCCCCAGGCTGCCTGGCTCTCTCCTAGGCGCCTGTGATGGCTCCCTGGCCTCCGTTTGGCCTTGGCCTCCTGCTGCTGCTGCTTCTACTGCTGCTGCTGTCCCCAGAGCCGCTGCCTTTGACTGGAGCTCACCGCTTCTCGGCCCCCAACACCACCTTCAACCACCTGGCGCTGGCCCCGGGCCGCGGTACACTCTACGTGGGCGCCGTGAACCACCTCTTCCAGCTGAGCCCTGAGCTGCAGCTCGAGGCGGTGGCTGTCACCGGGCCCGTCGCTGACAGTCCCGACTGCCTGCCGTTCCGGGACCCAGCCGAGTGCCCGCAGGCCCAGCTCACTGACAACGCCAACCAGCTGCTGGTGGTGAGCAGCCGGGCCCAGGAGCTGCTGGCCTGCGGGCAGGTGAGGCAGGGCGTGTGCGAGAAGCGGCACCTTGGGGACGTGACCAAGGTGCTGTACCAGGCTGAGGACCCCGGGGACGGGCAGTTTGTGGCTGCCAACGCCCCCGGAGTGGCCACGGTGGGCCTGGTGGTACCCTTGCCGGGCCGCGACCTGCTGCTCGTGGCCAGAGGCCTGGCGGGGAAGCTGTCGGCAGGGGTGCCGCCCCTGGCCGTGCGCCAGCTGGCCGGGCCTCAGCCCTTCTCGAGCGAGGGCCTGGGCCGCCTCGTGGTGGGTGACTTCTCCGACTACAACAACAGCTACGTGGGGGCCTTTGCTGATGCCCACTGGGCCTACTTCGTGTTCCGCCGACGCGGCGCCCGCGCCCAGGCCGAGTACCGCTCCTACGTGGCCAGGGTCTGCCTGGGGGACGCCAATCTCTACTCCTATGTCGAAGTGCCCCTCTCCTGCCAGGATCAGGGCCTCGTGCAGGCCGCCTTCCTCGCGCCTGGCACCTTACTAGGGGCGTTCGCCGCGGGCGCCCGAGGGGCCCAGACGGCCCTGTGTGCCTTTCCCCTGGTGGAGCTGCACAGACGCATGGAGCAGGCCCGGCGCCTCTGCTACACGGCAGGTGGCCGGGGCCCCAGCGGGGCGGAGGAAGCCACTGTGGAGTACGGTGTCACGTCGCGCTGTGTCACCCTGCCTCCCGTGAGTGGCCTGCGCTGGTGCCTGCCCCCACCCCACGTGCCACGAGGCCTGGCCGGCCCCTCCTCGCCTGACCCGCCGCTCCCTGCCCTTCTAGGACTCCCCAGAGTCGTACCCCTGTGGTGATGAGCACACGCCCAGCCCCATCGCTGGCCGCCAGCCCCTGGAGGCCCGGCCTGTCCTGCGGCTCGGGCAGCCCATCAGTGCTGTAGCTGCCCTCCAGGCGGATGGGCACACCATAGCCTTCCTGGGTGACACCCAAGGCCAGCTACACAAGGTGAGGCCCCCACTGAAGGGGGGTGGCTGTGCTGCCCTCCTCCCGAGCCTGCACCCTGCTCATGGCTCCGACAGCCTAGCCACGTGACTGTTGGCCACTTCCCGCGTGGGTGGCTTGGGATGACTATGCAGGAGCCTCCTGAGGCGGCCCCACCTTTCCCCGGCCTTTGGGAGCTCAAGGTGGTGTGGGGGCAGGGCAGGCAGTGCCTGGCGCTCACAGCCAAACTGGCCCCAGAAGCGTCTCCGTGGGGTCCTGGTGACTGTTGGCAGAGCGGCCCCAGCTGTCTGAGCACCTCGTCTACAGTGCTTCTGTCTCCACCCCTCCCCATGTTGTAGTTGCCTGGTGGGAGTCCTGGAGCAGCCTTGTCCTTGTCCCCCCGAGCAGGTCTTCATCAATGGCTCCCAAGGCCAGGTGTACCACTCGCAGCAGGTGGGGCCTCCAGGCTCGGCCATCAGTGCAGACCTGCTGGTGGACAGTAGTGGCAGCCACGTCTACGTCCTCACCGCCCAGCAGGTGAGAGCTGCTCTTGGGTCAGGGAGGGCCACACAGCCTGCAGCTCTCTAACCCCCGTCTCCCTCCCTCCCTCCCTGCCTGCCTGTCCAGGTGGACCAGGTTCCCATAGCAACCTGCCCCCAGTTCGCAGACTGCACGAGCTGCCTGCAGGCCCGGGACCCGCTGTGCGGCTGGTGTGTCCTCCAGGGCAGGTGAGTGTGGGGCTCACATCCCGGCCTGAGCCAACAGGTAGCGCTTGCCAAGAGGATGTGTGCCGGGAGGCCAGCCTTGGTCACCGAGGCGCAGACTGAGGCCCGCATCCTGCCCTTTGCCACGAAGCCATGAATCTGGTTGGCCCCTCTTCTCAACACTGCCCCGCCTGGTCATGTCTCATTCCCGCAGCCTCCCCACCCCCGGCCTCTGTCACCTCTGCCCCCACCCCGCACAGCTGCCAGAGTCCCCTGGCCTGTGCAGCAATCCTAAATCAGATCTGCAGGTCCCACCACAGCCTCTCCCTCTCACAGTCAAGGGCCAGATCTGTGTCCTCAGCCCGGTCCTCCCTCAGCACACTGCACCCAGCCAGGCCATCCTCCCAATCTCCCACATGGTAACCTGGCAGGTGCACCCGGAAGGGCCAGTGCACTCGGGCAGCACAGCCAAACCAGTGGCTGTGGAGCTATGAGGAGGACAGCTCCTGCCTCCACATCCAGAGCCTGTTGCCGGCCCACCACCCCCGCCAGGAGCAGCGGCAGGTAAGGTGCCCACCGCCACTGGGCCTTCCCGGAAGCACGGCTGCTGCCCGCAGGGGTCGCCCCTGGCTGCCTCCTCTGCTCCTTCTCCTCCCTCAGCTGCCTCGAGCCGCTGCCCTGCTTGTCCCACCCAGCCACCACCCCACTGTGGTCTGGGCCCACCCCTCTGTTCCCCTCCCGTGCGTCCCAGGTCACCTTGTCTGTCCCCCGGCTGCCCACCCTGGCTGCCGATGAATACTTCCATTGTGCCTTTGGGGACTACGACAGCTTGGCTCACGTGGAAGGGCCCCACGTGGCCTGTGTCAGCCCTCCCCAAGACCAGCTGCCACCTAACCCTCCAGGCACAGGTGAGGGGGCCTCTGGGCGGGCCCAAGGCCAGAGGGGGAAGGGGCAGAAGCCCCACGCGCTGCTCCACTGCCACTTCTGCTCGCAGACCACGTCACCTTGGCCCTGGCCCTGATGTTTGAAGATGTGGCTGTTGCTGCCACCAACTTCTCCTTCTACGACTGCAGTGCGGTCCGGGCCTTGGAGGCGGCTGCCCCGTGAGTTCTCCAGCCTGGCTCCTGCTGGGTAGGGGTGGCAACCCCAGCCAGCGCCCAACCTGAACAGCCCCGTGCCCCTGCAGGTGCCGCGCCTGTGTGGGCAGCCTCTGGCGGTGCCACTGGTGCCCCCAGAGCAGCCTCTGCGTGTACGGGGAGCACTGCCCAGAGGGCGAGAAGACTGTGTACAGTGCGCAGGAGGTGCGTGAGCCCGCTGCGCACAGCAGAGGCTGCGGGACAGAGGCGGAGCCGGCCTTTCTGCCCCCCGCCCCGCCGCCGCTGCCGCCGCCGTGCGGGCCGGCCGCCTGTGGCCTGTGGGGCTAACAAAGGGCTCTTGACTCCCCCAGGTGGACATGCAGGCGCGTGGCCCAGGGGCTTGCCCCCAGGTTGAGGGCCTGGCAGGCTCCCAGCTGGTGCCTGTGGGCTGGGAGAGCCGCGTGGCCCTGCGTGTGCACAACCTTCAGCATTTCCAAGTGAGCTCCATGTGGGCAAGGGGACAGGGCAGCGGGGACAGCGGCGCCCGAGGTCCTGACCGCATTCCCCCGTAGGGCCTGCCCGCTTCCTACTACTGCTGGCTGGAGCTCCCCGGCGAAGTGCGGAGGCTGCCAGCCTCCCTGGAGGAGGCGGACGAGGACTCAGGCCTCATCCACTGCCAGGCCCAGCAGGTGCGCATGGACCACTCCTCCCCCAGCCTCGCCAGGCCTCTGATGCCCCACTCCGCCGAAACCCTCTCGCCCTCCTCCCCCCCGCCCCCGGCCTCGGCTTTCACCACTGTCGTGCATGAGAGCCTGCTCTGTGCCAAGCCCTGGGAACAATCACCCCCATTCTTGAGCGCCGGCAGCGGGTACCGGAGAAGGCCAGAGTTGGGGCCGTGCCTGACCCTGCCCTCTGCCCTCAGTTCCACCCGTCCCTGTCCCAGCGGGAGCTCCCAGTGCCCATCTACGTCACACGTGGCGAGGCGCAGCGGCTGGACAATGCCGGCGCTGTGCATGGTGAGCCCCGGGACAGCAAGGCTGCTGGGGTGCAGGGGCGGGGTGCACGGCGCAGGGGCAGCGTCTCAGTGCCCCGCCTGCCCTTCCCTAGTGACCCTGTACGACTGCGCTGTGGGGCACCCGGACTGCAGCCACTGCCAGGCAGCCAATGGGAGCCTGGGCTGTGTATGGTGTGGGGCCGGCCAGCCCGCCTGCCGCTATGGGCCGCTGTGCCCGCCGGGAGCTGTGCAAGGGCTGTGCCCGACACCCAGCATCGATGCGGTGAGCACCCCAGCTCCAGGGCTGCCCACGGTTCCCGGCGGGCCCTCGTTCGCCATGCTGCCCGCTCCTCGCCCTGCCGTCCTAGCTTCTCAGGCACGTTCCCCACTGCAGATCCAGCCACTGACCGGCCCCCCGGAGGGCGGCTTGGCCCTCACCATCCTGGGCTCCAACCTGGGCCGGGCCTTCGATGACGTGCGGGATGCCGTGAGTGTGGCGGGTCGGCCGTGCAGCCCCGACCCCTCTCTCTACCGCACCTCTGCCCGGTGAGGCGCCCGAAGAGGGGGCAGGGTGGGGCGGGGGCGGGGCAGGAGCAGGCAGGGTGTCTCCCCCCACCCTCGAGGTGGGGAAGCCCTCAGAAAGCGGCCACCCAGAGAGACGGGAGGCTTGTGGCCAAGAAAGGCGAGGCCCTGGGTCAGAGCCTACAGGAAAACGAGCCAGGGAGGGCTGGAGGCAGCGGGGCCTGGGCAGCGGCTGGCAGGCAGCCCACAGCTGCCCGAGGCCCTGAGCAGCCACTGGGCCTCGACCCTCAGGATCGTGTGTGTGACATCTCCCGCCCCCAATGGCACCACGGGGCCAGTGCAAGTGGCCATCAAGAGTCGGCGGCCAGGCATCTCGAGCCAACACTTCACCTACCAGGTCAGTGCCCACCTTGGAGGGGACAGTGGGAGGGCAGGCACCGAGGGGACGACGTGAGCCTGCGTCCCAGAGCGTGTCCAGGAGTCGTGGGCGTGCAGGGTTCGGAGGCGAGATGCTGAGGACACCGCCACAGGCCAGCGTGGGAGGCAGGCAGCAGGGACTGGGAGAGGGAGGGGCATGCAGGCTGGGGCCTGAGCCCTGGGCTAGGGTGGGGCCGTTTTGGAGATGGGAGCAGCAGGAGACAGGGGCTCTGTGTGGCACAGCCACCAAAGCCTGCTCTGGGGGACAGAGGCGGTGGCAGCTGCGGTTCCTAGAGAAGCAGCCTGCCCCTCAAAGCTCAAAGTGGGAAAGCCACAGCCAGGCTGCCACGCCTACTGCACTGTGCCCCCTTCCCCAGGACCCTGTGCTGCTGAGCCTGAGCCCTCGGTGGGGGCCCCAGGCAGGGGGCACCCAGCTCACCATCCATGGCCAGCACCTGCAGACGGGGGGCAACATCAGTGCCTTTGTGGGAGGCCAACCGTGTCCCATGTGAGTACCCAGCCCCACCTGTCGGCTGGGCACGGGGGCTGCTCGCCTCGTGGCCCAGGCCTAACTGCCCAGCGCCCCTTCTAAACGGTGCGGTCAAGGCTCCCTAAGGCCCCCAGTGAGATTCTGAGAGAAGTGGTTCCTGTGCTCCTCATCGAGTGAAGGCCGCCGGGCCGGGGCCCAAGCTGAGAGCCTCCCCGCCCCTGCAGCCGGGAGCCGGTGTGTCCCGACGCCATCGTGTGCCGCACCATGCCCCAGGCTGCCCCGGGAGAAGCCGTGGTCCTCGTGGTCTTCGGCCACGCCCGGCGCACACTGCCCAGCAGCCGCTTCCACTACACTGCCAACCCGCAGCTGGTGGCAGCAGAGCCCAGCGTCAGCTTCCGGGGGTGAGAAGTGGGGTCACCCTGTTGGGGGTGGGCTGTGCACTGAGCCAGAGGGAGGGGGTGCAGCTGGGGCAGGGCTGCGCTGCCCACTGTCTGTCCATCCTGTCTTCCTGGCACAGCGGTGGGCGGCTGATCCGAGTCAGGGGCACGGGCCTGGACGTTGTGTGGCGGCCCCTGCTGTCCGTGTGGCTGGAGGGTGAGGCGGAGGTGCAGGCTTTGGGGGCCCCGCCCCAGGCCCCGGACCCGAGGAGGAGCTGCAGGGCTCCTGCTGCTGACCCCCAGGCTTGTATTCAGCTTGAGGGGGGCTTGCTGCAGGTGAGCCCCCCCCCCCGGCTGTACCCAGTGAGGGAGTGGGGCGGGTCGCCGTGCCCGGCGCACCCGCCCGCATGCCCGGCCCTGGCCTCCCACAGTGCTCCACCATCTGCGCTGTCAACTCGTCCAGCCTCCTCCTGTGCCGGAGCCCAGCGGTGCCCGACGGGGCGCGCCCCCAGCGGGTCTTCTTCGCCCTAGACAACGTGCAAGTGGACTTCGCCAGCGCCAGCGGGGGCCAGGGCTTCCTGTACCAGCCCAACCCCCGCCTGGCCCCCCTCAGCCGGGAGGGGCCAGCCCGCCCCTACCGCCTCAAACCAGGCCACGTCCTGGACGTGGAGGTGAGCGCCGCCGCCAGGGCGCGCGCTGGGGCTGGCTGTGTGGGGGCTGGCCCAGCTCAGGCTCTCGCTGTTTGTTCCAGGGCGAGGGCCTCAACCTGGGCATCAGCAAGGAGGAGGTGCGCGTGCTCATCGGCGACGGCGAGTGCCGCGTGAAGACGCTCACGCTCACCCACCTGTACTGCGAGCCGCCTCCACGCGCCCCGCAGCCGGCCAACGGCTCGGGCGCGCTGCCGCAGTTCGTGGTGAGTCTGCGCCCCTGGCGGCCGGCCCGGGCGCTGCAGGCCCGCGCTCACACGCTCTGCCCGCCCCCTCCCCCAGGTGCAGATGGGTAACGTGCGGCTGGCCCTCGGCCACGTCCAGTACGAGGCGGAGCCCACGCTGGCTGCCTTCCCCGTGGAGGCCCAGGTGGGCCTGGGCATGGGTGCTGCCGCACTCACCGCCGCCGTGCTCCTCCTCACCCTCATGTACAGGTGAGGGCCCGCGGCGCCTTGCACACAGACACGCACACGTCTGCGCACACTTCCTCCCCTCACGGGGTGGGGGGGTGGGGTGGGGGAGCAAGGGGCATGCTGGCTGCGGCCTGTGACTGACGCCCGGCCCGCCGCTGCAGGCACAAGAGCAAGCAGGCCCTGCGCGACTACCAGAAGGTGCTGGTGCAACTGGAGAGCCTGGAGACGGGCGTGGGCGACCAGTGCCGGAAGGAGTTCACAGGTGCGCGTGGGCACGGGCGGGGGCTGGGCAGAGGGCCCCGGCCCCGGCCCCGGCCCCGGCCCACACCCGGTGGCTCCCGGCCCGCAGACCTGATGACCGAGATGACCGACCTCAGCAGCGACCTGGAGGCCAGTGGGATCCCCTTCCTGGACTACCACACGTATGCTGAGCGCGCCTTCTTCCCGGGCCACGGCGGCTGCCCGCTGCAGCCGGAGCTCGAGCGGCCCGGGGAAGAGGGCCGCCGCGCCACCGTGCGCCAGGGCCTCACGCAGCTCTCCAACCTGCTCAACAGCAAACTCTTCCTGCTCACAGTGAGGGCCGCGTGCGGGCAGGGGCTCCAGGCAGACGTGGGGGGCTGGGCCAGAGGGCCATCGCTAAGGTGGGGGGTGTGGCTTCCGGACCTGAGCCCTGGCTCCCTGCCTAGCTCATCCACACGCTGGAGGAGCAGCCGGGCTTCTCGCAGAGGGATCGCTGCCACGTGGCTTCGCTGCTGTCCCTGGCCCTGCACGGCAAGCTGGAGTACCTAACCGACATCATGAAAACTCTCCTTGGTGACCTGGCAGCCCATTACGTGCACAAGAACCCCAAGCTCATGCTGCGCAGGTTGGCCTGCCCTTTGCGTGCATGGCCTGGGCGGGCTCTGCCCCAGGGCGTGTGGGGCCAGGAGTCCCCAGGAGGCAACGAGGATGGGACCCGGGGCTTGCTCTCCACAGGACGGAGACCATGGTGGAGAAACTGCTCACCAACTGGCTGTCCATCTGTCTCCATGCCTTCTTGCGGGTGAGGGCCCAGGTCCAGGCAGCCCCCAACCCTGCAGGGCACCCTCCTCCCCTGCCGCCGGACGGGCACTGCTGGCTGCCCATGTCCTCTGTGGCCTGTGCCCAAAGTCCCCCAGGGGCCTCAGCCAGAGAGGGGTTGGAGAGGGCGGGACTTCGAGCCATGTCCCCTGCACAAGCCTCCTGTCTGTCGCCCACCCTTGCTCTGCGCTGCTAGCTGCCCCCTCCCTACCCATGCTGGGCCTCACCCGGCATGGTGGCCCCTGGAGTTGACACGGGCCCGTCTTTCTGGTTGTAGGAGGTGGCTGGTGAGCCACTGTACATGCTCCTGCGGGCCATCCAGTACCAGGTGGACAAGGGGCCCGTAGATGCCGTGACAGGCAAGGCCAAGCGGACCCTGAATGACAGCCGCCTGCTACGGGAGGATGTGGACTTCCGGCCCCTGACGCTCATGGTGCTGCTGGGCCCTGGGGCTGGCGGGGCCGTGGGGAGCAGCGAGGTGCAGCGCGTGCCGGCCCGGGTGCTCGACACGGACACCATCACCCAGGTCAAGGAGAAGGTGCTGGATCAAGTCTACAAGGGCACCCCCTTCTCGCAGCGGCCCTCCGTGCATGCCCTGGACCTCGGTGAGAGGGCCAGCCCTGCCAGGGACCCGTGCCCGGCCCCTCTGCTACGTGCAGCCGCTCAGTTCCTCCTGGCCTCCTTCAGAGTGGCGCTCGGGCCTGGCTGGTCACCTAACCCTGTCCGACGAGGACTTGACCTCCGTGACGCACAACCACTGGAAGAGGCTCAACACCCTGCAGCACTACAAGGTGGGGCGCACAGGCAGGGCGGGGGTGCAGTGGGGACGGGAGCAGGGGGCAGGCCCTGCCTCGGGGATCGGCCCGCGAAGGGGTCCCGACTCTACGCCCCTGTTCCCCGCCAGGTCCCAGATGGAGCAACGGTGGGGCTCATCCCTCAGCTACATAACGGCGGCACTGTCTCCCAGAACCTGGCCCAGAGCTGCCCCTCGGGAGAGAGTGAGTCCTCTGGCCTGGACTCGCCCACCTGCCCCTGTAGCGCAAGCAGGCGCTGCGTGCTGCGGGACTGGGGCCAGCACACCAGCCACGGGCTGCTGGGCCCGGCGAGTCCCCGGGCCACCGCGCTCTCCCACATGCCTCCCTTGCACAGAGTGCGCAGGAGCGGGCGGGGAGGCAGGGCTCCACACCGAGCGGGCTCCCGTGTTCTCAGATCTCCCCATGCCGGAGGATGGTGAGGAGGGCGGGATACGCCTCTGGCATCTGGTGAAGGCCACGGAGGAGCCGGAAGAGGCCAAGGTGCGGCGCAACAGCCTGCGGGAGCGTGAGCGGGCGCGGGCCAAGACCATCCCGGAGATCTACCTCACTCGCCTGCTCTCCATGAAGGTGGGTGTGGCCAGCGGAGCGGGGGGCGGGGTTGGGGCGGGGGAATGGGCGTGGTTCTGGAGAGGCCCTCCCCCGCATTGGCCCTGGCCCGCCGCCACGCAGGGCACGCTGCAGAAGTTCGTGGACGACGCATTCCAGGCCATCCTCAGCGTGAACCGGCCCGTGCCCATCGCCGTCAAGTACCTGTTTGACTTCCTGGACGAGCTGGCAGAGAAGCACGGCATTGAAGACCCGGAGACCCTGCACATTTGGAAGACTAACAGGTGCCTTCCCCGCTGCCCACAGCACCGCGCCGGCGGGCCACGGAGCCCCAGGCTTTGCCGCACACCCACCCCCAGCACGGACTCACCCGGGCAGCTGAGGCCCAGGGCAGATGCTGTAGAAATGGGGGCTGGGGGCCCCCGCCAGGGCGTGGCTGCCCGGGTTTCCCAGCTAGGGTGGGAGGGGAGGGCCGCGGTGCCGGAGGAGGGGGAGGACTCTTGCCCAGGCCCAGCCTCTGTCCCCAGCCTGCTGCTGCGGTTCTGGGTGAACACCTTGAAGAACCCACAGCTTGTCTTTGATGTGAGGGTGTCCGACAACGTCGACGCCATCCTCGCCGTCATTGCCCAGACCTTCATGGACTCCTGCACCATCTCGGAGCACAAAGTGGGCCGGGTGAGAGCAGAGGAGCCCCCGCCAGGGGGCGCTGTGCAGCAGCTGGGGCGGGCAGGAGGCGGGCACATTGCGGGCTCCTCCGCCTCCCAACTCACGCCTGGCACCTCCTCCACCCGGAGCAGGATTCCCCGGTGAACAAACTGCTCTACGCCCGGGAGATCCCTCGCTACAAGCAGATGGTGGAGAAGTAGGTGCGGGAGCCCGCAGGGCCGGGCAGGGATGGGGGCTGCCCTGGCCCGAACTCTGCTGTTCCTGCAGATACTATGCGGACATTCGCCAGAGCTCTGCCGCCGGCTGCCAGGACATGAACTCGGCTCTGGCGGAGCTCTCTGCGGTGAGGCTGCACCCTGCACATGTGGGGCCCAAGAGCTGGCAGAGTGGAGGGAGGAGGCGCAGCGCCTGCAGCCCAGGCTGGGGTCTCACTACCGCCCCCTCCTCTCCCCTCCCCCCAGAAGTACACCTCAGCTCCGCACTGTCTGGAAGCCCTGCAGGAACTCTATCTGCACATCCACAGGTATTACGACCAGGTGAGGCCCACGGCTCTCCCGAGGGAGGGGGCAGGGCCCGGGGCACTTTGCTGCCAGCGCCTGATCCTGGCAGGAGGACGGAGGGCCCAGGTGGGGGCAAAGGGGCCAGGCTTTGATCTGGATTCCCTTGCTGGATCCCTGGGCCGCCGCTGTGATACCAGCAGTGCGGGGCGTCAGGGGAGTCCCCTCCTCTCCTCTCCCCCCACCCCCGCCGGGCAGATCATCAGCGCCCTGGAGGAGGACCCCGTGGGCCAGAAGATGCAGCTGGCCTGCCGCCTGCAGCAGGTCGCTGCCCTGGTAGAGAACAAAGTGACTGACCTGTGAGCACCAGCACCGGGGGGCCAGGCCCCGCAGCTTCCACAGCAGCAAGCAGGATCTGCCACCATCGTGCCTTATGGCCCCTGACCGAGCCAGCAGCTGCGCAGGGGCTGCCACAGCTAGGGGCTGCAGGGGGCCCAACAGCTCCCTAGCAGCCCCCTCCCCCTCCCCGGCCGCCACGCGAGTGCACACCTTTGCAGCTGGCTTGTTGCTAATTTATACTGATCCCTCCCTGCCCCTTCCCCGTGGTATTTATTTGCTTGCTGGAGAGTCACATCTGGAAATAAAATATTCGTGTCTCTGCGGAACAGCCCAACCCCAGCCCGTGCGTCCCATCAGGAAAGCTGCACCCCCACCCCCACCCCACCGATTCTCTGCCTGCCATCTCTTCACATAACCGCTGTTACTGCCAAGCCCCCTCGGCTTCCTCCTGACTCCCCAGTAGACCCCAGCTGGCCTCCGGCTCCCAACCACGCTGCAGCGGGGCCGGTGTTGGCGAGCCTTGAACCCGTCCTGTCTGGGCACCCAACGCTCCTGGTCTCTCAGGAGGCTACCCCAAGGTCATGGGGGCCGCGTCTGCTCCTCACGGGGAGCTGGTGCAGGGTGGGCAGTTGGCGGATCGTGGAGGAGGGGCAGAACCCTACATGGGAGACTTCCCACATTTGTACATGTCCCACCTGGCCAGGGGTCCCCAGCGGCACCAGTCCCAGGAGAGTACTGCGTTCCTCCTGAGGGGTTGATGAGCCACAAGAAAAGCAGGAACTAGGCCGGGAATGGGGGGGGGGGGGTGGGGTTCCCATGGGAACGGGAGGGGTCGCCTCCAGGGACCAATTGGGAGCTCTGAGAATTTGCTCTGCCCTGGAGCGCAGCGATCTCAGCCTTTCCTAGGTGGTCCCCGCGGTCAGCCCTGGCTGCGGGGCTTAGCTTGCGGTCCTAGTGGCTTCATCCCGGTGTAGTTGGTCCCCCTCGGCCTGTCTGGGAGCTGTGAGGACCGCCTAGGGACTGAGTCACTGGCGACCCCGTGCGGTGGCTCCCTCTGGCCCCCGGGGCTGGGCCGGGCTCTCCGGGCCACCGTCGTGCGCCGCCCCCTCCCCGCGCCGCATACCTTGCCCACAGCGGAGCAGCTGGGAGGCTATTTATAAAGGCGGGTGAGATCAGCGGCCGAGGTTATAAATGCGCGGGCCGCGGCCGGGCCCCACCGGAGCAGCCGCCCGGGGCGCCGGAGTCGCGGGCCGCGAGGCCGGGATGAGCGCCAGCGTGGGCGGCAGCGGCAGCGGCGGCGGCGGCGGCGAAAGTGGTAGCAGCAGCAGCAGGTAGGGCTCAGCCCGGGCATCCGGGGGCCCCTGGTGCTCCACACACTCACTGCCCGCCCACCCTCCCCGCAGCTCGCAGGCCTCCTGCGGGCCCGAGTCCTCGGGCTCTGAACTGGCCCCGGCCGCGCCAGCGCCTCGGATGCTGCAGGGGCTCCTGGGCTCCGACGACGAAGAACAGGAAGACCCCAAGGATTACTGCAAGGGTGAGGCCTGGCCTCGCGCTCGCGGGCGCACAGCCACTGCAGGAGCTCAGGGTGGCCCCGGGGAGGAGGAGGGTGCCGGAGCCCGGGCCCGCGTGAGCCAGATGGCCACCAGGGCGGGAGGTGCCCCCACTGTCATCCACGGACTCCTTTGACAGGTGGCTACTACCCTGTGAAGATTGGTGACCTGTTCAATGGGCGATACCACGTGGTTCGCAAGCTGGGCTGGGGCCACTTCTCCACCGTGTGGCTCTGCTGGGACATCCAGTGAGTGTGCGCCCTGTCTGCCCCGGGGCCCAGCACTGGCTAGGCTCCTGCCCCTGGGCTCGCTCAAGGCCACCACGATGAGTGGTCTCCGTGTTACAGGCGCAAGCGCTTCGTGGCCCTGAAAGTAGTCAAGAGCGCGGGGCATTACACAGAGACAGCTGTGGATGAGATCAAGCTCCTGAAATGTGTGAGGCACCTCCCCTACCGCTCCCTGCTCCCCGGGAATTGCCCATGTGGGTGCAGGGCCTGCTGGGGCTCGGCGGGGCGGGGCGGGGCTCCCACCAGGGCAGGCTCCAGCTGGCTCTGCTGGACTAGGCAGAGGGACGGGAGGGGCAGGCGGCTTTTCTTCCAGCGGGGGCCCAGAGGACGCTGAGGGGAGCAGCTAGTGAGAGGCAGGTTGCAGCCATATGTGGCCTCTTGGCTTTTGTTCCAGGTCCGGGACAGTGACCCCAGTGACCCCAAAAGAGAGACCATTGTCCAGCTCATTGATGATTTCAGGATCTCCGGGGTTAATGGAGTCCGTATCCTTTATGATGTAGAGAAGCGCGGTAGCGAAGGGGCCAGCTCATAGGTCTCCCAGCTCCCAGGGCCTCTGTGCTGGTCTGCAATGGGGACATCCCCATGCAGCGACACGGGTCTCTGAAGCAGCCTCAGCCCTTCGACGACTTGGCGTTTAGGTGTGTGAGGGGCCGAGTGGGGAACCGGGTTGGCATTACCTGTAGACGTAGACGTTGTTGAGTTTCCTCTAAATAGCAGGGGCCGCCTCTGTGGCAGCCCCCCCCCCTGCTTTCTGGGGACGGCCACAGGGCCTCTGGGCATAAAGGAACACCGGGAGTAGGTCTGCTCCCCCAGTGCCACCTCCAGGGTGAACACAAAATGTGCCATCCCAACTGGCACACCTCTGAGTGACAGGGATGCTATAAACGGCAGCAGGATGGCGGTGCCTCCCGGCCCCCGGGCAAGTCCTGCTGCCTCCTGAGCCTCGCTGCTCAGCGCCAGCGGAGGGCGGGTGCGCCTGTGCCCAGCCGTGTGCCCGCTGGCCACCCTTTACTCCAGGCCCAGATGTGTGCATGGTGCTGGAGGTGCTGGGCCACCAGCTCCTCAAGTGGATCATCAAGTCCAACTACCAGGGTCTGCCCGTGCCCTGCGTAAAGAGCATCGTGAGGCAGGTGGGTACTGCCCGCGGGCTGTCCGCCCCGCCTGCGCAGGCCCCGGGAGCTCAGCGGCGGCTCCCCCTAGGTGCTGCATGGCCTGGACTACCTCCACACCAAGTGCAAGATCATCCACACGGACATCAAGCCTGAGAACATCCTGCTGTGCGTGGGGGACGCCTACATCAGGCGCCTGGCCGCCGAGGCCACCGAGTGGCAGCAGTCAGGGGCCCCACCCCCGTCCCGCTCCACAGGTACCGAGGAGGACACGGCTAGGGCTGGGCGGGGGCTTCTGGGCTGTGCGCCTGCCAGAGTCTCCATTCCTTTCCTCCCCTACACCTGCACCGCCAGTCAGCACTGCCCCCCAGGAAGTCTTGGTAAGTTGGGGGCATCCCCCTTTTCCTTGCTCCTCTCCCCCTCCTTGGGCACACTGGCTGCACCCCTCACCTCCGGGACCTCCCTGGTGGGAGCAGCTTGGGGCCCCATGATGGCGGCACACAGGGTGGGTCAGAGGTCATCTCCAACCCAGAGCTGCAGGGAGTAAGTGGCTGGTCAGGGTGGGCGTCGCATTCTGGCAGCCACGGGAGCCCTGGGCAGGGACAGCACCCCAGGCAAGCAGACCGCAGGTGGGTGACGGGGCCCTGGGTGACCCTGGCTCTGGCAGCAGACTGGGAAGCTGTCCAAAAACAAGAGGAAGAAGATGAGGCGCAAACGGAAGCAGCAGAAGCGGCTGCTGGAGGAGCGCTTGCGGGACCTGCAGAGGCTGGAGGCCATGGAGGCGGCGGCCGAGGGTGAGGGGCTGGACGGGGCGCTGCGCCTGAGCGCATGCGCTGACCGCGCCGTCTGCTCACGAGCCACCCCTGCCCGCCTCCCCAGACTCTGGCTTGAGGCTCGAGGCGGGCAGCGGCTCCACCTCATCTTCTGGCTGCCACGCTGGGGGTGCTGGGGCCGGCCCCTCGCCAGCTTCCTCCTCCCCGGCCCCAGGGGGTGGCCGCAGCCTCAGTGCTGGCTCGCAGACCTCCGGCTTCTCGGGCTCCCTGTTCTCTGCGGCCTCCTGCTCCATCCTCTCGGGCTCGTCCAATCAGCGCGAGACCGGCGGCCTCCTGTCGCCCAGCAGTAAGTGGATGGAGGCTGCAGGGGGCACCGAGGGCCAGGAGGGGCTGGCCCAGCTCAGTCTCCCTCCTTTCTCTTCCCTCCCCAGCACCATTTGGTGCCTCGAATCTTCTGGTGAACCCCCTGGAGCCCCAAAATGCAGACAAGATCAAGATCAAGATCGCAGACCTGGGCAACGCCTGCTGGGTGGTACAAGAGCACCCTGGAGAGCAGAGCTCTGGGCTGAGGGGGGAGGCACGGGGTAGCTCCCAGGGAGCCTGCTGCAGGCACTGGCCAGCCAGGGGCTCGCTCAGCAGTGGCCCGCGCCAGGCCTCAGCTCCACTGCCTGCCGCAGCCCCAGCCAGCACTGGGCCCAGGGCAAGGGACAGGGGGCTACCGGGCAGGGGTCAGCCTCGGCCTCGGCTCACCAGCCAGTCCCTCGAGGGTCGTGGGGGATCCCGAGGCTCAGAGCAAGCCCCACTGCCCAGAGGCGGGAGCGGGTGGGGGCACGCCAGCCTGGGCCCTGGCGCCTGTCCCTAGGGCTCCCCTTGCCTCCAGCACAAGCACTTTACTGAGGACATCCAGACTCGGCAGTACCGGGCCGTGGAGGTACTGATCGGGGCGGAGTACGGGCCCCCAGCGGACATCTGGAGCACGGCGTGCATGGTAAGTGTGGGCACGCCCAGGCGCCTCCAGCCGGCGGCCGCCCACCTGCCAGCTGCCTCCCCTCCTCCCGCTCCGCAGGCCTTCGAGCTGGCCACCGGAGACTACCTATTCGAGCCTCACTCTGGAGAGGACTACAGTCGTGATGAGGGTAGGCAGAGGCCGGCCCGGGGCTCGGCCTGGGGGCCTGGGGGCCTGGGGGACCTGGGGGCCTCCTCCGGCAGCGGCCAACCTCCTCTGGGCCCGCAGACCACATCGCTCACATCGTGGAGCTTCTGGGAGACATCCCTCCAGCCTTCGCGCTCTCAGGCCGCTACTCCCGGGAGTTCTTCAACCGCAGAGGTGGGAGCCGGGGGGGCGGGCAGGAGGGGCGGCGACGGAGCCTCCGGAAGCGGGCGTGGAGCCTAAAGCCTGCCGCCCCCAGGGGAGCTGCGGCACATCCACAACCTCAAGCACTGGGGCCTCTACGAGGTCCTCATGGAGAAGTACGAGTGGCCCCTGGAGCAGGCCACGCAGTTCAGCGCCTTCCTGCTGCCCATGATGGAGTACATCCCTGAAAAGCGGGCCAGCGCTGCCGACTGCCTCCAGCACCCCTGGCTCAATCCCTAGGCCCCGCTGTGGCTTGGGGCAGCTTGGGCCAGGCCTGCTGCGCCCCCCCCCCCCCCAGCTCTCAGTGCCTTGAGCGAAAGCGGGACAAGTCCCACCCCCCACCCCACCCCCGGCGCTGATGGCAGGACGGGGGCTGCTGCGGCCAGGCTGCTCTTGCAGAGTCTGTCCTGCCCGTGAGCCTCCTGGAGCGTGCTCCGAGAGGGAAAGTACGTGTGTTTCTTAATAAAGCGTGCACTGAAAGACCAGCACCTTGGGTAGGGACACACGCCGCCGCCGAGGTCTGCGGACAAGAAACTGGTTTATTCTGGGATCTGCCCACGGCGCCGCTAGGGGTGCCGGGGGCGTGGCGGGTCTGAGGAGTGCGCCGTGCCGGTCCCGGGACAGCCTAGGCCTCCACAGCCCGGCCGTTGATGATGCGGATGTTGCGGATGATGTCCTGGATGGCTTCCGAGGTGGTGCCCTGGCCCCCGATGTCCGGGGTGTGCATCTGCGGGGCACGGGCAGGCTATGGACCCTGCGGGCGGCCTGGCGCTAAGGCCGAGGTACACCAGCTCAACACCCGCTACCGATGGGGGGAGGGGCAAGGGAGCCTCACGTTGTCGTTGTGCATGGATGCCAAGACAGCCTTGCGGATGGAGGCGGCGTAGGTGTGGAGCCTAGGGCAGAGAGGCCGCCTTCAGCCCGCGGGGCCTAGGCGGCTGCCAGGCACCTCCGGCCGGGCATCGGGAGCCACTTACTTGAGGTGGTCCAGCATCATGCAGCTGGCCAGCAGCGTGGCTGTGGGGTTGGCAATGTTCTTATTGGCGATACTCTTGCCTGTGTTCCTGGTAGCCTGGAGAGGGTAAGGCAGAGGAAGCTGGGTGGGGACACACGCACACAGGGCAGGGGCCCACTCACGCGCTGTGGCCCGGAGAGGCGCATCCTCAGACACCGAAGGCAGGCGAGCAGGTGCAGGGCCTGGGCAGGAGCAAGGGCAAAGTGCTGCTGGCGCTGGGGTTCCTTGCGGGGCACCGAGCATGCGCTGCAATTAGTGCTGAAGGCTGCACACCTTGGCGAACAGGGGACCGTGGCCTTGGAAAGAGTCGCTGGCACACTCACCGTCTCAAACACTGCATACACATGGCCATAGTTGGCCCCAGCCACGAGGCCTGGGCCCCCGACCAGCCCTGCACACACGTTGTTGACGATGTTGCCGTAGAGATTGGGCATCACCATGACGTCGAACTGCTGGGGCCGGGACACCAGCTGCAGGGCAGAAAAGGGGCTGAAGAGCAGACTCAGAAGCACAGGTGCCGGAAGCCTGGGCGTCCAGGGCGAGAGGCCCCCGAGCCAGGGCAGGGGCGTAGGGGTGTGTGTGTGCACGTGTGCACGGCTGGGGGAGCTTCCTACCTGCATCGTGGTGTTGTCCACAATCATGCTCTCAAAAGCGATCTGGGGGTAGCCGGCCGCCACCTCCCTGCAGCACTGCAGGAAGAGCCCATCGCCCAGCTTCCTGGAAGAGGAGGACACAGGACATGGGCTTGGCCCATTGCAACAGGGTGTGCTGAGGGCCCTGGGAGGCTCAGCTCTAACTGCCAATCTGCCCCTCATCCGAAACCCTGGCATGATCCTGCCCCACCTCCTCTCAGAGCGCAGGCCCAAGAGGGGATGCGAGGACAGCCCTGGGTGTGGCCAGGTCCCGGACACCAAGTGCCGGAGCAGAGGGTGGGGGCACGTACATGATGTTGGCCTTGTGCACGGCTGTCACTTTCTTGCGCCCACTCTCCTGGGCCAGCTTGAAGGCATATTCAGCAATGCGCAGGGACTTGGCCTTGGTGATGATCTTCAGGCTCTCCACCACTCCTGCCACACTCTGAGAACAGAACAGCGGACAAGAGACTCGTGACCTGTCGCAGCCCGCCCTCGGGGCGCCTCTCTGTGGGGCACGGCGCGAAGCACCCGAGTCCGAGTACTCCTGGCTTCTCCCTTGAGCGCAGGCCCCACTTCTTCGTAGCTCCTGAAGGAAGCTGGCCAGGCTCATTCCCAGCCCCTGACCTGCCAGGGTCACCCAGGCCCTGCCCACCTCGTGCTCCAGGCTACTGTACTCGCCCTCCGTGTTCTCCCGGACGATGAGGATGTCTATGTCCTTGTGCCGTGTTACCACTCCTGGCAGGCTCTTGCAGTGGATGACGTTGGCGTAGAGGTCCAGGCTGGTGCTGGGGGACACAGAACGGGGCACGGCGAGCTCCCTGGCAGCCGGCCAGGGCCGCGCCCCTCTGCCGGCAGCCCTCACCCCGGCCCCACGGAGCAGCCACCTGAGCATCTGAGCCTTACCGAAGGATGTTGTTTCGGGATTTGTGAGATGGTGGCAGGTTGTGGTTGGTTTCAATGTTGCCTATGGGACAAATGCGAGACGGAGAGGCTCAGGGGTTGCAAGGACCTGGAAGAGCACCTGGCACACAGCAGGCGCTCAATAAGGCCTTACTGGATGAATGAATAAGCGAACGAGTAAGGGCTGACAGCTGGCTGCAGACCTGGCTTCACAGGAAGTGACCACTTCTTTTATTAACAGGCTGGCCGGCCAGGGTGGCGCCAGCAAGGTCACCTTGCAGCTCTTGCCAGGCCCCACATCGAGAAGCCACTCAAGCCCAAGTTCAGGGGTAGGCAGGGGCTGCCTGCAAAAGGCCACTGCTCGGCCAAGCTCTGCCCAGTGGCCCAGGGTACCCGGAGGAAGGGAACCAGAAGCCGGGGCGGGCAGGCAGGCAGCAGCCACTGGCAGAAGGCAGGGACAGGGTGCCAAGCGGAGAGGCCTCTCTCAGCAGCCCACCAGGGCTGTCCACCCCTCCGCACCCTGCCCGACGGTGTCCACCTGAGTGCCAGGGCCCAGGGCTCCACCCCGCTTCGGCTTTGTTCACATGCTCTTCTCACAGGGCAGGTGGGCTGAGGGTGCAGAGTGCATGATGGAAACCATTGAACAACCTGCACCCAAGTGAGGGAAACTCGGGAGGGGCACGTTCGGCTCTGTGTCACGGGGTTGAAGAGAGCCTTCAGGTCACGGCTGACCCCCGCAGACAGGGCTGCCTCAGGAGGGAAGGCGGGGCAGCGGCAGGGGCACGGCCCACTGCCACCGGGAACTCAGCATCGCTGCGTGAACAGGCTCGGGGGAGCTTCCAACCACCTGGCCCCCACCCAGCCAGAGAAGCCCTGCCATCAGCTGTGGCGCCCCACGAGAACGAGTCGTGCCCGAGCCTCGCCCCAAGCCCACCTTTCAAGGCCACGCGGTTCCGACGGATGGCCATGATGGCGTTGCGGATGTCTTCCTCGTCAGCGTTGGAACTCACGTGCACCTCTTCAAAGTCCACTGGCACGCACGCATGCCTGGGACAGAGCAGGCTCAGGACAGCGCCCACAAGGGAGGAGACGCTGGCTGAAGCCCGCCGTGCACTCTGCTGTGCCGGGTGCCCCTAGCACGGGGTGGGCTTCTGGGCTCACTGCCCATGTCGGCACAGGGCGCTCAGCACCGCCCCCCCCCCCCCCCGGCTGGGGAGAAGGCAAGGGGAGGTAGGCCCAGGGGCTTCATACCTGAACACAGACTTGACGTGCAGCATGAGCTCCGGCCCGATGCCGTCCCCGGGGATCATAGTCACTGTGTGCCGCCCGCCATATTTCGCAGATGGAGGCTGCAAGGAGAGGGCCGGGGGGACTTTGAGTAGGGCCACATGGTCCCGGCTCAGCACGCAGGGGCCCGAGCCAGTTCCCGTCTCCCCACCAGTGCCGACTCTGCAGGCTGGCCAATCATCAGGTGCCAGCTTGGGACACCCCCAGCCCAGCCAAGACTGCTCATCCTGGGGCTGCCTGCCTCGTCAGCAGCAGCCCCGGGCCCGACTGGACCTGGCTGAACCCCAAAGCCACTAAGACCCCCCAAATCTCACAGGCAGAGAAGAAGAATACTCACAATTGTTTGTTGCTAGTGGGCAACAGAAAGGAAGAAGACTCAGATCAGCCAAGGATGGAGGAACAAGGCTGTGACCACGGACTGGGCCTGTTCCCTAGGGCTATGTCCAGCACAATTCAGGGCAAGGCAAAGGGTGGGTAGGTAGGTGACCTCTGGAGGCTGTGGCTCCGAGGGCAGGCCACCAGGGCCACACGTACACACAGCGTGCACACTAACACATGCAGTGTGTGCACACGCACAGAGGCAGCCTCACCCGTACACACATCCTCGAGGGCACGCGTGCATGTACATGGGCGGTACTTACTGAGGAGATGCTCCTCCAGGGGGCCTCATGGGTACTTAGAACCTGGCAAAGAGAACCCAAATGCCAGTGTTTGGGGTCGGCCCCCAGTCGGGTTGGCAAGGGCTAGCCAAGCAGTTGGTCGGGAGCAGAGACTCGCCACGGCGCCCAGACAGGCCCCCAGCGGCGCAGCACAGCGCGCAGACAGCAGCATGCACCATGCACGGCCCGACGCGCCTCCACAGCGTGGCTGAAGCACCAGAAGTCACCTCAACCCTCAACCTCTCTGCGGCCTGCAGCTCCTGGACCAGCTCAGGACCAAACCTGTGGGCAGCCTCTGCTGCTTTCTGGCTTCTGATTTTTTTTTTTCTGGCCAATCACTGCACAGCAATGCACAGCATAACAAGCAAAAAGAGGAAAGCAACCACAGCGCAATAGAGAAACCGCACTCCAGAGCCGCGACGTTCGGGCGCCTTTGTCATCTCCCCTCGTCACACCACGGTGACAGACTGCAGCCGCCTCTATGATTCGTGGCCTAGATAGATGGCACATGTCCCCAGCTCCGTGAAAGCTCAGTGCAAAAGCTAGGGCCAAACAGGCCAGATGCTCTGAAATGACCCACTGTCATGGAGTGAGAGGCTCGTGTCTCCAGTGCCTGCTGCACGCCGCCTAGCAACACAACCGAGGAGACGGCGGCAGGGCCAAGGTCCTGCTCTTTACTTGGGGATGCCCTGTGCCTGGCCCACTACGCAGAACGCAGGAGGCGCAGGCAGGCTAACATCACCTGTCTGGGTCCACTCAGCTGGCAGTCACAAGCCAGGGCCCAGAAAGAGCTGCCCACTAGGACCAGAGCCTCAAAGTCTCCTCGACGGATCTGCGTGGCGCCCAGATCCGCAGGTGCGGGCACACGCAGGATTCTTCCACTTTCTGACACTCGTGTCAATTATCTGGGTTCATCTTCTCTGCAGGCTCTCAATAAAGCTCGCAGAAGCCTTTCGCGATGCCCTGAGGCGGCAAAGCTGGCTCCCCAAGCCCTACCTCCTTCCTTCCGCCAACAGCAACGGACATCTCCCTAGGTTATCCACTGCACTGCTCCCTCCCCAACCCTCAGGACCCTGAGAGCAGCGGCCACGTCTGTCTGTTCCCTACTGTCATCTCAAGACCCAGCACTGCGGGCTGGCACGGTGGTGCAGTGGGTAAAGCCACCGCTTGCGACACCGGCACCTCATATGGGCACTGGTTCGAGACGCAGATGCTCCACTTCCCATCCAGCTCCCTGCTCATGCGCCTGGGGAAGCGGCGGAGGATGGCGCAAGTCCTTGGGCCCCTGCACCCATGGGGGAGACCTGGAAGAAGCTCCCGGCTCCTGGCTTAGCCTGGCCCAGGCCTGGCCATTGCGGCCATCTGGGGAGTGAACCAGTAAATGAATGATCTCTCTCTTTGTGGAACTCTTTCAAATAAATAAATAAACCTAAAAACAAAACAAAACAAAACTCAGCACAGCGTGTGGCCCAGAGTAAACAAGCACATCAGAAAAGCAAGAGGGGCCGGTGTCACGGCACAGCAGGCTAAGCTGCTGCTTACACGGCTGGCGTCCCATACTGCAGTGCGATTCCAGTGTCAGCTACTCCAGTACTCGGGCCCCTGCCACTTCGCTGGAGCTCCTGGCTCCTGGCTCTGTCCTGGCCCAACCCTGGCTGTTCTGGCCATTTGGGGAGTGAACCAGCAGGTGGAAGAGTCTCTCTCTATCTCTTTCAAATAAATACACCTTTTTAAAAACTGGAAAACGAAGAAAAAGATGGAGACCAGGAGGACCTCAGTCCAAATGCACCGTGCGCTGCCCTCCAGATCACCCCGGGTCCCCGGGAGAAAGCCCGGAGCAGCTGCAGCCGCAGCCACTCTGGGACCGAGGCGTCTCCCTCTAGCACATTTCCGCGCATCTGGTTCCAGGGGTGGCTGCATGGCTGCACGCCTTCCCAGGAGGTCTCACTCCGCCGGACCCAAGGCGTGCAGCTTTGTCTAGGGCTCCCAGACCAGGGCAGCCTGTCTCAAGGCAAAGCACTGCCAGTGCACCCCGCTGTTTCCCCAACAAAGGCACACACACACACGCAGCTCAGGAGGGAGAGAAATGCCTTTTGCAGACTGCAGGAGCCTGGGAAAGCGGCGCAGGATGGCCCGAGTCCTTGGGCCTCTGCAGCCAGGAGGCAGACTCGGAAGAAGCCCCTAGCTTGCACTTGGCCAGCTCTGGCCATCTGAGAGCGAGCCAGCAGGTGGAAGACCTCTCTCCCTCTCTCTGCAGCTCTGAGTTTCCAATAAACGAGTTAAGTCTTAAAAAAGAGAAAGACCTCTGGAAAGACTGTCTGTGCTGCTGTCACTCCCTCAGGGAGCAGGGGGAAGTCAGCTTTTAAACAGACTCTCACAAAGCCTCAGGGCACGGGGGAGGGGCGGGGAGGTGCACAGCCGAGAGCGCTGTCTCCGGGGACTGTCAGCAAAGTCACAGACTTCCTGAAGGTCAAAGTTGACAACATGAAGTTTCTTCCCCTCAGTGGACAGAAAGAGGCGGCCACGTAGCGGGGCAGTGGGAGAGCAAGGCCTGCAGGTCATCTCTCTCATCTCCCAGGGCCAGGGCTGGCTCGCCGCTACAGAGCACGAGCTCTGGGGACAGGAAGCCACACTAAACAACCAAGCCCTCAAAAGCACCACCGAGGGATAGAAGCCCCCACCTCCATCCCCGCCCCCGCCAGGCGGTTCCGGAGGGCGTCCGGGGCCGACAGAGAGTGGGGGGTGGGGCACGGGGATGGGGGTTACTGGGAACGTCTGATTCTCCACCCCATCGGGACAGGTGGCGAAGCGCACTAGAAGGTAACCTGAGTAGCAAGTGAGTACGGGACGAGCCGGGATACTCCTGAATGTCTCGGGAGGACTCTCACAGACACTAGGGAGCCGCCGCAGCCCAACAGATACACACCCCTGGGAGAGACGGACCGAGCCAATCTCGGCCATTCCACAGCCGCATACTCACACCCACACTCCAAACACCTCCCGCCCTCTCCCCCGACGCACAGAGACAGCAGAAGCGGCCAATCAACCCTGGCCCTCTCCCTGCCTCTTAGCGGGGCCCGCATCCAATGGAACATCAGACCGTTTTAGGAGCCTCTAACCCGGCCCGGCCGTAAGGGTGTGCGAGGCCCCGCGTAGCGGACGCTGCTGCTGCGCCGTGGCCTGCTCCCCCTCACCTCCCAAGGACGGCTGAGGACGGCTGGCTTGAACACCGCCCTCGCGACGGCACCTGCAGTCGTCGTCAACTTCAGCGCCATGTTGGAAAATGAGAGCCGCGGCAGATTCCAACAGTTATGACATCGCTATCGCGAGAGTTCGGCGCTGGGCGAAATCCCCACGGCAGACGTGCGCCCGGCGCTGCGCATGCGCGCAGCCGCTCCGGTGGCCACGCCCCCTTCCGGTGCCTGGAGCGTCGCGGCTCCCGGCCGCGCTGCCGCTGCCGCTGCCGCCATCTTAGGGGGGGCGCGACAAGCTGGGCCCCTGGCTCGGGGAGGGGACACGTCAGTGCCCCTAGCGACGTCACGAAGCCTGGCCCGGCCCGCCGGAGCATGATTGGCTATCGCGGCCGCTTACGCGTCGCGCTTCCTCGTCTGCCCCTCGTGTTCAGGCGAGCTCGCTCTTTTTCGCGTCGGCAGAGAAGAGGCGATGGCGGCGATGGCATCTCTCGGCGCCCTGGCGCTGCTCCTGCTCTCCGGCCTGTCCTGCTGCTCAGGTAGCGGCCTGGCCGGAGTTTATTTCTGGCGAGCCTCTGTCCCACGGCAGGTGGTGCTGGGGGGAGGAAGGGTGCGGGCGAAGCGAGGGCAGGCCCTTCCCGGGGCTCGCTGTTGCAGACCGGGCCTTTCCCCGAGAGGTAGCCGGCGTCGCGGCGCAGCCACCAGTGGACCACACGCACGTTTGCCAAGCAGCCAGGCTGCGGGGAGAAACAGTCAAATCCTTCCGTCATCCGCTCGTGATAAAGAGCCGCAAAGCCTACACTGTGGGCCCCGGCTGTCAGCTCCAGCAGGGAAGGTGACACACGTCGCAGCCGTCGCCTGGCTTCAGAGGGGGGTCGGGCAGGATCCACCTCCGGCAGTGCGGAGCGGGCCAGGCTTCCCCAGCAGGCCAGAGAGCCGGAGTGTGGGGCTGAAACGGGCAGCAGGGGCCTTGAGTGCTTCCGAGCCCCGGGGCAGGGTCGAGGACAGCCTGGAGTCAGCCTGGAGTGTGGCTAAAAGGGAGTTGTTGCACATTCACGCTGGTGCCAGCCCGGCCCTCCCGACTGCCCGCACCTCTCTCACCCCGCAGTTCCCTGCCCTGTACCAGGGATGTCTGGCAAGAGACATAGCTGGCCGTGAACCCCTCGGGGGCTCCATAGGGAAAGGCCCAATGGAGCGGCAGGCAGAGAAGACTGGCCCCCAACTCACTGCCCCCGCACCCCCCCAACACACACCCCCTCCACCCCACGCCCCGGCATGTTCCTCCTGCCCGGAGCCAAAGCGCTGTCCGGCTTAGCGCACTTGAGCCATCTCTCTGCCTCCTGTCCGCCACCTCGGTGGCATCGTCCTTTCCCACGGGTCCTCAGGGCTGCTGGAGGCAGATGCCCTTCCCGTCCTCTGGACTGATCCTGGCCTGGACCCCGGGGCTCCCTGTCGTGGGTGCCAGCACTGAAGCGAGCCCCCTGCACACATTCGCCCCCCTTCCGCTGGCATGAGTCCTCACTGCAAAGCCCTCCCTGTTCCCCCAGCCTTCCCCCCCCCCTTGCCATCGCACTCGTGCCTGACCCCCGGCTGTGTGTCGCACACCTCCCGTGGCAGGGGCAGGAGGGCCCTTGTGCCCTGGCTCCAGCACGCCCACGCCGGCCTTGCCTCCTCCCTGCAGCAGAGGCGTGCGTGGAGCCCCAGATCACCCCTTCTTACTACACCACTTCTGACGCCGTGATTTCCACCGAGACCGTCTTCATCGTGGAGATCTCCCTCACGTGCAAGAACAGGGTCCAGGTGGGGCAGTGCGGCTTCCGCCAGGAGGACGGAGGGGCAAGAGGTGGGCGTGGCCAGGGGTGCTCCTCTTGGAACTCAGTTCCTGGGGAGCAGGAGGGGGCAGGGCACAGCAAGGCCCCTTTCCTACGGGCCTGCTCTGCTCTGGGTCTGCGCTGCGGGAGAGAGCGAGGCTCACGCCCAGCCTCGCCCTTCTGCTCTGGATGCCGCTTGCCAGAGAGAGAGAGTCTGGGTGTGCCGCAAGTTCGGGATTGCACAGGCCCGCGTTCCTAAAAGCCCCAAGCGGGGAGTAGGCCCTTTCTGAAGGGCAGCCCTCCTTGGGCAATGGTGGGGGTCTCCCTGGCGCCAGCACCCCCTCGCGGGTTCCGGGAACAGACTCGCTCCCAGAGGACACAGACCCAGAGAGACAGTGCCAGCAGGCGGTGGGTGTTGCTCTCCCAGCGTGGCTCCGGTTGTGCCAGCCTCACCTCTTCGGTGGTTGCATGGTGCTCCTGGCCAGAGAGAGGAGGTGACTCCCCTTTGTCTTCTCACCTAGAACATGGCTCTTTACGCTGATGTCAGTGGAAAACAGTTCCCTGTCACCCGGGGTCAGGACGTGGGGCGGTACCAGGTAAGCGACGGCAGATCTGCGTGCTCTCGGGGGCCCACTGAGTGTCGCTGTGTCACGGCCCCCTCACGTGCACCCTGCCCACCCGCCCAGGTGTCCTGGAGCCTGGACCACAAGAGCGCTCACGCGGGCACCTACGAGGTCAGGTTCTTTGACGAGGAGTCTTACAGCCTCCTGAGGAAGGTGAGGACTGCTCGGGACCTGTCGTCCTGCAGCTGCCCCTGCCCTGCTCACCCTGCTGTCCGCCCCGGCTGGCACTGGGCGGGGGCTCACCGGTGCAGGGCACAGCGACAGCCCCGTCCCGTGCTCCTGCACGCCTGTGCCACCTGCCCCTCGTCCCTTCCTCTCCTCCCCTCGTCACCCCGTTGGCCACCTCTGACCCCAGCCCCTGCCCTCCTTTGCAGGCGCAGAGAAATAATGAGGACATTTCCATCATCCCGCCCCTGTTCACAGTCAGTGTGGACCATCGGGTGAGTGGCCTGGCTCCTCGCTTGGGGGTGTGGGGTGAGGGAAGGTTCTGTGCTCTCTGCCTGCTGGGCCGTGATTGGCCAGTGAGTCTGTGCCCCCGAGGGAAGCTGAGCTGGCTTTGATCTTTCTTGTAGGGCACTTGGAACGGACCCTGGGTCTCCACGGAGGTGCTGGCCGCAGGCATTGGCTTAGTGATCTACTACCTGGCCTTCAGCGCAAAGACCCACATCCAGGCCTGAGAGTGGCAGGCCCCTCAGCCCTCCTTCCTTAGTGAATAAACAGTCACTGGGCGCTACGAGCGGCGCGTCCAGGACCCAGGGCTGCTGCCTTGTGTCGCTCTGCTTTTCCCACACGGTGCGATCTGGGGGCCAGCTCCTCGTCTGCCTGGACAGCAGAGGCAGAGTGGCGAAGGACGCGCTCCCTCGCCCAGTGAAGCCTTCCTGCCTGCTTCCCGCTTGCCCAGTGGCCACCTTCTCCGAGTCCCTGTCCTGCTCGCTGGCAGGGCCTGGGGCTGGGGGCCCGAGGATTGGCCCGTCCTTCCTAGCACACATCCACTGCTGCCCTCGCCCTGTCCCTGGGCTGCCAGCCTTCCGGCGCTGGGCTAGGGTGGGACCCTTAGCCTTTCTGGCCGAGCCTGGGCGCGAGAGCCGTGAAGGGGCTGCTCTGCCCCACACCCCCACACCCAGCAGCCAGCACCGTGGGTCACACGCGGTGGCACGGCCAGCCCCATCTTCATGCTGTGCCTGTGTTAGGGGCCCCACAAAGCTTTCCAAGCTTTGCTTGCTGATGCAGGCGGGGCCCGCAGCTGCAGCTGCAGTGTGCAGCACACAGCTGTCTCGGGGCGGCCCTTCTGAAGCGGGCTGCCCGCTCCGTGTTCCTCCCCGGGCGAACACCACTGCACCTCTGAGGAACCCTTTGCTCTCTGCACATTGACTGTGCTCTCCCAGCCTCTCCCAGCCCGCTTTCCGGGCACAACAGCTGGGGCGGGGGTGGCAGTGAAGGCCCTGGGGCCAAAGAGGCCGGTGCACATCTCCACTGAGCCCTTTGCAGTGTGAGGGAGCAGTGCCTACTCCAGGGCGTCGGGGCATTGGTGCAGCCGCCATCCCCCGGCATGCACTCGGAAAGGCGAAGGCCCCGGACCTGGGAGGACGGGTGCCTCGGTGCCGAGGCCCTCCCCTGCCCGGGCTGCGCCAGCGTGCAGTGCAGCGAGGATCACTTTCGACCCAGCTTTGCCTGCTGAGGGCTGTCTCCGCACTGGAGAGGAACCTGGATTCCCACCCAAAGGAATGGGCAGGCCCCAGGAAGAGCTGTGTCCTCACCCAGGAGACCAGCGGTTGAATCCTGTGCCACGCGGTGGGCTCATTGTATAGTGCAGTGAGCCCCAGCAGGGCGCACTGTCAGTATCCGCGAGGCAGGAGGCCTGCGTGTGGGGGGGGGGGGGTAGCAGGCACAGTGGCAGCGGGGCCTGAGTGGGAAACCGTTCCCAGGCCTCAGTAGCTGAGTGCTGCCAGTCCTGGTGCCACCTCTGTCTGAGCCAGGTAAGTGACACAGTGCCCTCCCTCTGGCCCACATGTCATGGGAGGAAGAGCGGGGTGCCCCCAGCGGCTGCAGAAAGGCCAGGGAACGGTTGGCCTGTGACCAGCTCCAGCCAGTTCTCTGCAGCAGTGCGCTGGGATCTCTATGGGCCCTGAGTGTCCCCTCAGCTGGAGAGGCCCTGGTGTGGGGGGTCGGGGGAGCCATCATTCCTGTGGCCTGGCCTCACCTACAGGCCAAGCCTTTTCCCTTGTCTTCCTCCCATGGGAGGTTTGTGACGGGCCTCACCGCCCTTGAGACCCAGCCTCCTCGGAGTCCTGCAGTTTTCATTCCCGCCCATCTCGACATGTTGTTGGGCGCTGGAACCCATAGGTCTCTGGCTGGGGGAGGGGTGCTCTAACTAACGTGCAGCAGCCCAGCGCTACCTAGCAAGGCGCAGCGGTGCGCCCACATGGGGAGCGCAGCTTCTAACCTCCTTCCTCAGGCTCCATCCACTTGCCAGTTGTGTCCACGGAGAGCCTGCCTCTCCCATCCTGCCTGGGCACCTGGGCACCACCCTATGGCTGGGTCACACCCAGAAGTGACAAGGGACACTGATGCAGCTTCTCCCAGAGTGTGCACAGGAGGCCTGCAGTTGACCCCAGCCCTGCCCCCTTCCCCCCAAAAAAGCAAACAGAGGCCAGGACTCCACGGAGTAAAAAGGCAGCTTGCTTTATTCTCAAGATGCAGGTGGAGGCAGGGCTGGGCCAGCCTGTCTGCCTCCAGTCAGGTTCTTTAAGCCTGAGGGGCACCCCACAGGCAGAAGGGGCGCACACTTGTACAACCTGAGGGGGTTGGGGCCATCTCCCTCCCAGCCGGCCCACCCTCCTGTCACTCAGGTGAGTGCCACCTCTCCAGGCCACACAGCTTGAGGTCTTGTGTCATTCATGGGGCTTGGCTTCTAGATGCCCTGGACAGCCAAGCACCTCCTCAGGCCACTCAAAAGCAAGGCCCCCTCCAGAGGGTGCTGGGCAGAGCCGCGGGCGCAGTGGTTTCTTCTAGGGTATGCGCTGCCCCCCGTGTCCCTGCAGCTTCACTCTATGTCGCTCACTGGAGGAGGTGGCCTCCAGGGGTGAGCCTCATCCCTGCACGGCAAGAGTGGAGGCCACCAGGACAGCTGCTCCCCCTCCTCCCACCTTCCCCTCCCCTCCCCTCCCACCCCAGCCCTCCCTCTCCTCCTCCCCCCACCTTCTTCCCAGCCAACACTCAGGGTTCCACCTTTGTCCGACCACCTGAGGGAGCTGCCAACCCCCAGGGCGGGTCCACACAACAGAAAAACAACTATTGGCAAGCACAGAAAGGGAGAAAAACCACAAAAATCGGGGTTGCCTTTGTCTACAAGTAACTGCGGCTTCCAGCAGGGGGCAAAGCTGCGCTCAGTGGCGGTGCTGGCTTCCTTGCTGTCCACTTCCCTGTCTCCAAGCAGCCATGCAGCAAGAGCTACTGTGTGCATGGGTGTGTGTGGTGTGCGCGCCCACACACGACCCACACCCACAGCTGAAGGGTGTGCCTCCAGTGCTTTGCTTGGGGAGAAGGAGGCAGAGGAAGAAAGACAGGTGCCTTTCTCCTTGTGGGCTTCCATCTGTTAAGTCCTGTGCACAGGCAAAGACAGGCAGGCGTGTGTTGCGCACGCACGCGCGCACACACACACACACACTACATTCTAAGGGGGAGGAAGGGCCAGGCCACAGGAGGCTCCTGGGCCAGGCCGGGCGGCTCAGACAGTGGTGACGGAGAGCAGAGGGTTGTAGACCCGCTTGCCGTCGGCCGAGCGTGCGCCGTGGGCCAGCATCTCCTGGATGGTGATCCAGTTGTCCAGGATCTTCTTGTTGCGCTTCTTCATGGTCTTGCGGTGGCTCAAGGCGATGATGTTGAGCTCGGTCTTGCCGTCGCCGCTCTGCTCCCTCAGGCACTCCAGGCGGCTCTGCATCATGAACTCGCGCCGCTTCCGCTGCTCACGGGCACGGATCAGGTGCTGCTTGCGCTCCTCCTTGCTCCAGTAGCGGCCCATCTTCATCTCGCTCACCGCGTCGTCGTCAGTTGTCATGCCACTGCGCTCCTCCCGAATCTTCAGGGCGCGGGCCTTCAGCAGCCGGTCCCGCACCGGCCGCTTGGCTACGTAGCGCGTGCCGTCGCTGCGCACCTTCACCTTCCACTCCATGCGGGGCGCTTCGGGGGCTGCAGCCGCCACCCCACCCACCCGAGGGCCACCTGCCAAACCCAAGGAGCTGTGGCCCAGCTCCTCCAGGCCGCGCGTTGGCGCCAGCTGCACACAGCTGTGATACTGCTCGCTCTCCTGGCCCTGGCCACGATGGCGGCGCGAGAGGTAAGGGCTGCCTTCGGGGCCCACGCGCTCCAGGGTCACGCCCATCTTGGGGTTCCGGCGGACCCGCTCGTCTGCGTGCTGTCTGCGGCCCGCCTCGGCATCCCGGGAAAGCGAGCGGAACTTGGCGGGGCTCCCCTGCGGAGGAGCCGCCTTTGTGGGGGCGGGGCCGGGCGGGCCGGGAGGAGTCCGGTTCAAGTTGGAGTTGCCGGCCGTGGCCCGGCGCAGCGGGCTCTCGGGCAGGGGCTCGGCGAGCAGCGGCGTGCTGCGGCAGCTCTCGCCGGTGTTGTAGGCGCTGGTGCTGTCCTTGTCCGACTTCTCGGGCAGCTCGGAGATGTCGGGCAGCTCGCGCTTCTTGGGCTCGCAGGCCGCCAGGTCGTAGAGGCTCTCCTCCTCCAGCAGCCAGGCCTTCATGCAGCGCTCCCGGAGCTGCTGCATCTTCTGCGCGCGCAGGATGTTGCGGCACTTGAACTCCAGGTGCCGGAGCTCCTCCTCCAGCATGGCCATCTCGTGGCCCAGGCTCTCGTTGCGGTTGACGTCCAGGGCGCTGTTGCCGCCCGAGGCGCGGGGGAAGAGGAGGCCCAGCGGGTTGCCGTTCTCCAAGTGGCACTTGATCTCCAGCAGCTCCCGGTAGCGCTCGTACTCCTCGTCGGTGAGGCCCGGCACGTCACCCCCGGCCAGCCCCGCCCCCTCGGCCAGCAGCGAGTCCATGCTGAAATGGAAGTCCCGGCTCTGCAGCATGTCCCCTTGCAGGCCAAACTTGCGCAGACTGCCAGGGGTATTGGTGCTGCTCGGGGGCTCATCCCCCAGCAGGTCGTGCTCCGAGCTCTCTTCGTTGCGGGTGCTCTCGTCAGTCCGGCCCACCCCGCTGTCCAGCTCCTGGCTGTTGCTCAGGCCTGGGCCTCCATCGGGCGCCCCCTTCTCCTCTTCATTTCCGGGCTGCGGTGGCTGCAGGAGGACCCCAAGGGGTTTCAGGTCTCGGCTGTTGTTCCAGCCAGGGCCGAGGCTAAGGCTGGCAAGGAGACGCCCCCCCCCCCATCCTGCACACACTGAGCCCCTCCCTCATGCTGCCGCACCCGCCTCACCTGCTGGGCGGGAGGGGATTTCAGCTTCCGAGCGCGGAGGTCCCCCTCATTCTCAGAGCCAAAGTCATCCAGGAAGTCGTCCCGGTCACTGTCTTTCCATCGCTTTGCCAGCTGCAAGCACAAGGCTGCCATGGTGAGCCCACTGCTTCCAGGGCGCTCCCAGACAAGCCCGTGGTCCCCCTTCCTAAGCCCTAAGCCTGGCCCCCTAGTGTCGGGTGGTCCCTGTCCACGGACACTGGCAGCTCCCCAGACAGAAGGC